GGGCGAGGTGGCAGCTACAAGCACGAACAGATCTGAAGGCATGAGCCAGTTCCCTGGGACACCCCTTCGCCCCTCCCCAGAGCCCCAGACAAGCTTCACACACCAATGCCATGTGCAGGATTCACATTTATTGGTTCAAATACAGTACCTAACATTTTCTAAACATGCATTTCACACTAATTGGTCACATTTCCACAGGTAGTCAATTCACAGAAAAGGGCCCATCCCTTGCCAGCTGGCAGGGCGGGAGGTAGCAGAGGGCCCGGGCAGCCTGCAGAGCTCGCCAACTAGCATCTGGTCATGCAGGGTTGATGGAGCCAGGCTGGCGGGAAGCCCTTGGCCGGCCCTTTGGGGACAAGGGCTCAGAGACATCCCGTTTACTTGATTCCTACACAGGACTGTGGGTAGCGGTGGATCTCGGGTAGGTAGCCCAGGGGTTGGCTTGGGGATGCATGTGCCACCAGAGCCCCTGATGGTAGGGTGGTGCTTCCTGCGCCTGGGGTCATAGAAAGGAAACGGAGGCCTCTTTTAGGGGGTGGCTCATCACTGTCTGGGCAGGTGCGAAGGACTCCCGAGACACGGCCCAGACATTACAACGCACCCACAAGCCTCTATCGCAGGCCTGGGACGGCAACACAGACAAAAACACCAACACCCCAGGCAGGCAGGGTTTCTCTCCCGACAGAAACATGTAAACAGAGCAGGAGCCACAATATTTTTTTCCCACAGGATTTCTCAGAGAGGAATCGACCAGGATGTCACTTGAGAGGTAGTATTTTCTTCTTTTTCATGGAAATTTGAGTCAACAACATTATCGTCTATTATAAAACATTTCAGAGGAAGAAAACAATGATCACCAAAGGGCAAAAATGATACTTTGGCTGGCAGGGCTGGCCCCAGGACTCGGAGGGCTAGCCTCCATCAGTAACGCACTTTTTTCTTGGGCCTGGAACAAGCTGTGGCCTGACCCACAGCTTCCCTTTGAGCCTGCAATCGATTCCCGAGCGGACTGTGGCCCATTTAGGGCTGCAGGCCTGGCAAGGACTGGACTGGGCAGTGGAACCAGGTATCTTACGAGCAGGCAGAGGTAGGGCCGCTGTGGCTCACGTTCCAGGGCAGCCAAATACTTTCGAGTCTCAAGGCAGCCCAGGAACGGCCCCCGAGGGAGGCCCAGCTTGCCCCCAGACTCAGTCTGGCTTCTGGGGCTCCTGCCTCTGAGGCAACAGTCCAGGCCTGGCTCCCAAGCCCAGAAAAGATGCTGCTGTTCATGGCAGCCAAGAGAGGGGTTTCTGGGGACCCTGTAATTAAATACACATCCCTGAGCTGTGGCCCTAGAAACCCTTGCCTCAAGGCTGACCAGCTTCCAGTACCTGGTGAAATGATTGCCGGTTCTCATCCTGAGACACAGATAAAACGTCATTCACAGACACTGGACATAGATGCTTCAAGCTGAGGAAAAAGGGAAGGATGACCAACTGCGAAGGCAGAGGGGCGTACAGGGGGACGCTCACAGGTCAATTTGGGGAAAGTAAGAGAAGCGGTTTTTTGGTTCAATTTTTTGTTTTTGAGATTTTTTTTTGTTTTTTTACTTTAAAAAAAATCAATAAAGAAAAATAAAAAGGGCTGGTCTGAAAAAGACTGGACTTCTTAAAACAATTGCAAAAATTTTTCAAGCAACAAGGAAAAAAAGACATAGACCAGGGGTCCGAGCTAAAGACTTAGAACCACTGCTCAACTTCCCGTCCCGCTGCGGGGCCAGGGTCCCTTCACGTTAGCCAACCTTGGACACGGCTTAGCGTTGCCCACACTGGGCTTGCCGGTCTCCATCTGTCCCACTCCCCAGGAAATCAAGAACGAACAAACTACAGTTAAGAAATGGGTAGCAGAGCAAGGTTGCAAGCTCAGAGGGCCCAAGGGTTTTAAGGACCTGGTGACGTATTGGCCGTGACAGGTACTCATTTCCCTGAGAAAGGAGGTCGCAGGTTGGTGTGGAGTGGGTGACTGTCAGTATGCCCTAGAGACCCTAGGTTCCCTCTATTCCTTCTCTGGTTCTGGAGAACAGGACAGGGAGGTCCCTGCCTGCTGCCTTCTGTCCCTAGAGGTTCAGCCGCCTCACTCATGGGCTGGGCACGGAGACCGGGTGTCTGTCCTTTGAGCCAGGCCGGGTGCTTTCGGGCAGGTTCTGGGGGGTTCCTCCACACCGAGGTCAAGACCACCAAAACCTGTGAAAGACTCCAAAAGTCTACAAAGAAGCCAGAGAGCCTAAGTTGTAGGTGAAGTTCCAAGATTGCAAATTTTTGTTTTGGGTCAAGAAAACATTGAGAGGGAAAGGAAGGGAAAAGCCCGAGCGTTCCGCTGCAGTACGCGGCGGGGCCCGCCTTGACCGCGCAGCTTTGAGGGTCACATTTTTATGGTGGAAAAATTCCCAAAATGAGTGCTGTTAGCGGCAGGGGATCAGAGAGAGGACAGGAGAGAGGGGAATTAAGAAACCACATGCACAACTTTTCTTCTTCCACTAGCAAAAAGGCTACCTGTTAACCAAACATTATGGGAAGAAAGGCAAAAAAACAAACACACCAAACCTCCCCCTCCAACCTTTCTGTGTCCTTCAAACCAAATTCAAATACATCTAGTGGCTGACCTAATGTCTCCACGCTGCTAGCTACACTCCTACCATCTCCTCGTAATACCTGAGTTTGCAATGCAACACATTCATTTTACCCTGTTTAAAAAAAGCCCACGTCATAAAAGGACTGGGTGCAGAACACATTAAAGGCGGTCCACAGGTCAGGCTCCGGCTCAGAACACACGGCCACTTGGCTCAGAGATTCTGCAGGGCACTCGGCAATGAATGGGCTCTTTGTTCCGTGGAATCTGCTGCAAACATTTGTAAAGATGGATTTGTACAATGGCAACTTGCAGAACCTTTCCCCCACTCCACAAATTAACAACTTGCTCTGTTTAATGCTGCATTATTGGAGAGACATGTTCTTGCCTCATCAGAGAGCAATTTCCTTTGATACCCAACCCACTGACAAAATGCGTAAAAGAAAAGCCATTTCAAAAAAAATAAATAATTTGACAGACAGAGGTCTAAGCAAAGAAAGATGGTGCACACAGGAGCCGTCTTGGAGAAGGGGTCTCCGATACGTGTCTCTTCCCTGTATTAGGGAAAGCGGCCGGAGTCTGACCTGTAGCCAAAGGATGTCATCTAGGTGGTTAAATAAAACATTCAGGGAAACAAAAATATTGTGAACTGAGAAATAAACACACACACACACACACACACACACACACACACAGAATCTTCCCATTGACATGTGAAACAAACTCTGATTAGAGCTTTTCCTGAGAAACACATCCCTTCCTTCTCTCTTTCTCAGACCAGTTAGGGAAATGGCACTGGGGAATAATGCTCTGTTTTAGATCCATCAAGGGACAAAGTCACCACTCTGCTGGTACCCGTAACATTTCAATGGAAAGAAAAAATTACAATCTGACACAGACAACCCGGTCTGCACGTGATGTGGTGGCCCACCAAGTCAGTTTGCTAGGCCACGCTGGGAAGGCAGCAAATGGCCTTTGACTAAATAGGCAAGAGGAGGTGCTGTAGGCCCCTCGGGCCCACCCAGGATGCACCCCTCTAAGTGGTCTGTCGGCTGCACTGGCTACGTGCAGTACCTGCACGTAGGCAGGGACAACGGCTGTGGCAAGGCAGAGAAGGGAAAAGCACCGAAGAGAGTTCCAAGACAGATATGGTGTGGCTGCTGGCCAGGGCCGGGAGGGTAAGGAACACTTCCCAGGACTAAGTGGGGCAGCAGCGAAAGAACAAGGGGTCTGCGGGAGGGGGCCGCCAGGCCCTTAGGAATATGAGGTAGTTTAAAGCCCCCCTTCCCTTTCCAGGTGCTTGGGACTCCAGCCTTCCAGGAGGCCACAGTCGGCCAAGCTACTGATATTCCGAGGGGCAGGAGGCCACTCTGAGCCTTGGACTTTCTGTCCCAAGGAGTCCTGGTCTCACTCTGGAGAGATGAGAACTCAGTAGAATGTAAGGGCACAAGTTCTGGTCAGCAGATGGGTGGATGGTCCTTCCCACTGCGTGGAAAGAGACTGCAGGTTTTGGATTCGGTCCTGGGGTAGGACAGGATGGAATGGAGGGAGGAAGAGAGAACTCCAAAGGAGTTATTTTAGTGTTTGCTCTTTTAGCAGTCTGGACTTTGTCCCAGTACCCCCTGAAGAAAGCAAGGTGACAGGAAAATAAATCAGTAGAGGGCACCAGGATTCAGAGCATGACGTTTAGCTGTTTTTTTGGAGGGCCAATAGGAAGTCATATTGATAAGGCAAAAGCAAACTTATAAGGGAAAAGAGTCTAAGGAAGGTAGGCCCTAGAAGACCCAGGTAAGGAAACGAGGTAGCTGTTAGCCCCAAGGGAACTGGTAGACAAGTCCCAAGGGTTACCTTGTTGCCAGGACTTTGGACGCAAAGTTAACAGTGGCAGAAACGGATAGTAGTGGTTCCGATAGCGGGGCAGGAGGTCCTACCGCGTGGTGTGCGAACAGAAACTCCTCCCCGAGGACTTGTTCAGAGGGAGGACACCTAACTTAGATTTGTCCCTGTGCGCCATTCTCTCCACTTCCATGCTTTCCAAAGAGATGGCTTAAATCCTCGTCTCCTGCCTTGTTCCCACTGTCTCACCCACTCTGCTCAGTAAACCTCCTACCACCACTTTGCCCTTTTACAGTGTGTGCTTTTTACCTGGCAATTCTGTGGCTAGAAAAAGGCAGTTTGCTCTCTGACAGACCAATGTACGAGTCTGCTGAGAACAGGTGGAAAAAGTGGGGATGGTCACACCCTCCCTTTCCACTGAGGTAGTCGTCTTTGTCAACATTTATGGAAATAGTCATCTCAGCCCCATCCCACCCTCCCTCAAAATACAAAAAAGAACTATCTTTAAACAATGACAACACTGTAACATTAAACATCTTCACATTCTGTAAACTGCAAGGAAATGCATCGGCTGCATTCACACAAAAGCATGTGCATCATGTTGAAGGCCATACATTCAACTCTGTCGTGAAATAAATATATAGAAAAATGAGCTTAAAAAAACAGACAAACAAACAAAAACTCTTCTTGCTATGGAGGCGACCGGGGATGCTGCTCCACAGCCTCCATCTTGGTCTCTGGCTCTTTCTCCTGGAGCCTGTCCTGCCCGCCCAAGGCTCTGTGGTTGGCCTGAGGAGGGGCGCTGGAACAGGTCACTCCTTGCTCACACTTGTCTTGCAGGAATGCAGCACCACCTTAAAGAGGAGGGGCAGCTGCTCCAAGGGCACATTCACCATTTTTCCTGGGAACAGGTGGGAAAAAAAGAGTTAGCAGTGGCTGCTAGTGGGAATGAGTGTCCCTTTCTTCCTGGGCTAGTGAAGGGAGAATGTGGCTTTTTTGAGTGACTGGGGCAAGTGCCAGGAGTATCACACAGACAGAACTGGGCTGATGTGCCGATACTTAGGCCCACTCTGGTGCCCGAGTGAATCTAGTAATGGTGCAAGTTATACTCATTGCTATTATCCAGGGAATACGTACTCTGTGCTAGGTGTTTAAATGCATTATCTCATTTAATTCTCACAGTATTTCTGTGGGACACATAGTACTTCCCCCCTCCTCCATTTTACAGGTGAGGAATCTGAAACTGAGAGGTATTCTTAGACACCCTTTTAGAGCTAAAATACCACGGTAAACTTATATCCTGTTTTCTTTTTCTTTCCCTGATGGATTCTCTAACAAGCATTCTATAAAAATTGCTCTTTGGAGTAGTATAATAGGTTAATAAAAGTACTGAGGAAAAAAAGAGGTGGGGATGTCACAGAGGCAAATAAATTGAGAAGTTCAGGATTTAAAAGGATATACAGATGTCTGTTCCATGGAACCTCTCAGAGCATTAACATACACTGTAAATATTGGGGGCTGCGGTTCTCCTCAACACTACCTTAGGGTCACCTAGGGAATTAAAAAAAAAAATCCTGATGCCCAGGCCCCCCTCATACCAATTAAATCAGAATCTCTGGGTACAACCCAAGCATGGACATTTTTTAAAAGCTCCCCAGATGATTCCAAGTGTTGTCAGGGTGGAGAGCACAGCTCTGTGGGGGCGAGGGGGTATAATTACTGACCTCCCTTTAGTTCAGAGGAATATCTCATTTGGTAAAACATCACTTTGAAAACGCTGGGACATAAATATCAGAACACCCCTAAAATTCCAACAGCTGAGGTCCAGTTCACATCTGCCAGATTACTCTGGGCCCAAAAAGTACAATAAAAATTCCTTTGTCAAACTGGAATTTTTTTCCTTCAAAACTGTACTGCTGAATTTGACAAAAACAATATCTGTCTAGAGGTTCCATTTCTGAGCTGCCCTTCAGTAAGTGCTGGATAACTACAAACAACAACCTTTACTAAATGAAGTACAGCAACAATAACTAAAACTAGAATTTTGTATTTAAACGGAGCTATTAAAATGTCAAGCAGCTCAGCAGGGGTCAAGACCAGAAAACGACAGCAAAAATTCCTTTGCAAACATAGGACTGGGGAATTATTTTAAAGATACTGCTTTAAATGAATGAGCACCCAAAAACCTACAGGCAGTTCTATGAAATGAAGTTAATTTTTGTAATTGAGACATAATTAATTCATATAACATAAAATCCACCCTTTTACACTATACAATTCAGGAAATTAAGTTAACTTGAGAAACTCTGAGCCTGCTTCCCCACCTACAGAATGGCCATAGTATCACAAACAACCAGGCCTGTAGAGATTCGTTCTGAGGTTAAATGACGTAAAGCTACAAAGTGCCCCGCATATCACAGGTGCTGAGGAAACGTTAAATTCTTTTCTCTACAAAGAAAAGTCAAACTTCTCATTGTAACTTAACTTTTCTGAGGGCACAGGTAGTACAGCTTCTACATAGTTGGTCATGGGCTTGGAATGAACATCCTGAAAATACTGCTTGACTCACTCTCTTCACTAGCTAAGGAAAGCAAGAAAGAGTTGAAAACCTAGCACCCAGACTGTTACCTGCAATATACCGAATCTCAGGTAAGCACATCATGAGGTCAGGAAAGCGGTTTGGCTGATGTGTGTATTTATATTCAGTGAAATCCTGGCAAATGTACCAATATCGCTTGTTCAACTGTTCCAGCTGTGAAGCACTGGTCAGACCCCTGATATCTGTGAAGAAAACCACATAGGAAGTGGGAGGGGCTTTCTAATGTGGAAGGAACACCAACTCCACAAATACATGCAGATTTCAATTACAAGTGATTAAATATTGATAAACAGGGGATCTTTTCTCTTTCTGACATAGAGGAACAAAGTTCTAAATCAGGGAAGAGAAATCAGATAAAGAAGGAAAAAATTATACAGGATAATAACTAGACAGAGCCTACAGCTCCCAGAACAGGGCTTGATACAAAACAAGCACCAGCAGATGCTGAACAATGAACTGACGGAATAATCTACCTTTCCTAATTTATCCTTCACAAATAATCTTTAAATTTGCCCTTTGCTGGTACCTATGTGTTTGTGCTTGTATATATACTTACATGGTCTCCTGTGTTTCTGCTCATGCTACTCTGTGCTATCACTCCATTTCCTCCTACTGGTACGTAGAGCGCGCGCGCGCTCTCTTTCACATCTCCTAGCACGTGCGCACATGCGTGCGCGCACACACACCCCCTACCCCTTTTTTATATATAGAATCTGGATGTGCTATATATAAATCTTACCCAGTCTTTGAGACCCAACTTAAAGATTTCTCCTCCTCTATGTAGTTGCTACTGAACTCCCCTGATCTGAGGCTCAAGTAATGTGCCACATGCCAGCAGAGTATATTTCTTAAGGCCAGGGACCTGGAATCTATTTTTCAATGTCTTTAATGCCCACCACAGGCCCTGGCCTAGGGGAGGCACACAGAATACCAGATAAATGCATGCACGGTGTAGAAGCAGGAGGAGGAGGTTCAGCCAGTGTGGGGGAGGAGGAAGCAAGGAGAAGAGGACTGACAGTCTCTGGACAAGGCAACTGAACATAGGACAGAGCACTTTTCATGTCACAGGCAGCAAAACAGCTCTCCGAGAGCAGAGCACTTGTATGCTGCCTTGGGGGGAAAATATAAATGTTCCTTCTTACTCTGCTTACCAGCAGCTACCGAGCACCACTCTGCAGGCAATACTTCACATAAACCATGTCCGGCACACTTCTCCTTAGAAGCCACGCTTGATATACACGTGTGAGTCTCTAGGCACCCCCACTCTGCCCTGAAGGGGCCGTCAGAACCACTGCCAGCCTGTCCCAGAGGCCTTATCTCCAACAGTTTCATCACTCTGCTCTTCTTCAGTCACTGGTAAACTTGGTACACATTTTAAATGACGCATGTACTGTCCTTGGTGTCTGCGTTTAAATGCATTGAAACTGACTAAACAAAGCAAATCCTTTTCCTTCTGCTATGAGTTATAGAGACTGTGGCATTTAGGTTTGAAGAAAAAACCCAAAGCAGGCCCTGCACTACAGAAGGGTGCGATGATGATGAGGGAAGCACAGGCCTTCCGAGACTGGCAGCCATAGGGTGAGTCACATTCTGTGTGACAGTCCCGAGGGCAAAGGGGGGTGTGAAACATGAGGGGAAACGTTCATGGCAAAAAAAGGGCCCCTCTTCCCACACCCAAGCCACTCACCTTGATTTAGGAAGTTAATTGCTTTCATGCAAGCATACTCCTCATTGCTGACCTTTAGCTGATGGAACTTGTGATACAGGTAGATGAGCCGCTCGATCACCTCCATCCCTTCGTCACTAAATCTGCGGAACAGATACAGGTGTTCACCATGGGGTCTGACAGCAGCAGAGGACAGGGAAGGGAAGACAGAGGTCTCTGACAGCTCCTTCAGGCATCTAACATAGGGAAGAGGCTGAGGCTGCGAATCCAGACTGTAAATGACACGTGGATCCATGGTTTGCCAAGGTGCCATGCAGACAGCTCATTCAAGCTGCTGCGTCCAAGGTGAGGTAGGACTGATCAAGTCTAAAGCCAGTTCCATCACACAAAAGTTATGAGGACTTAGGGAAGTCATTTGACACCTCTAAGCGTTGTGGTCCTTCTCTCCACAATAATAACGGTTGCCTGCTTGGGGTAACAGGAGCTTCTAAGAAGGTTTGGGATGTGAATGGAAAAATATGACATCATTAATATACTGCTATTGTAGAGGTGCAGCTTCAGTATCAGTGGCAGCTGCCATGGTGACTCCCTACGAGCCTCTGCCACAATGCAGAATAAACTGCTGATTGTATTTGTTTAGGTTCACTGTTGCCAGCAGGGCTGAGGTTATGCTGTGAACATTTTTATTGGCACTCTTGACTTCAGTTAGGGAGGCAGGGGAACATGATAGTCTCTGCGCTGGGCACTTTATGTGCATTATCTCATTTAATTTTCTCAGCCCTGTGAGCTAGGTGAATCATCATCACCACTGTACAGATAAGAAACCTGACGTTCAAAGAATAGAGGGGACCGGTCCACAAGCATGCAGCTAGGTGGTGGCAGAGCTAGAACTTAGAACTAGGGCTAATTCCCCAAGGCCTTGGTTTCCCCAATATTCAAGGTGGCGCCTCACAGAAGACAGGGCTCAATGCTCCTTTCTTTGAATTAGGAGTAAGCTTCTCGAGGAAAGACCAAGTTTTTAGGCAAAAGAGCGCCAACTGAGGGGCCTAATATTCTGGGTCATAGTGGGGAATGTCTCATAACAGAGAGGAAAATATTACCAAACCAAGGAGGCAAAGGCTTAGTGGGGAAGTAGGAGTTTATAAAAGCTGGAGTCAGGCCCGGCCTCCCCACTTCTAGGAGGGGGCTGGCCTGTGAGCCAAGGGGAGTTTCAGACAGGTCTTAGATGCAGCTCAGTCACAGAGAAGATGTTCAGCCCAGGGCTACTTCCTGGTGATTATGTCCAGATCTGGGAACCAAACATAATCGTACAGCCCCCATGCCAGGCAAGAAGGATGTAACTGGGAGGGGTCCAGAACACCTGGGGATGAACTACTGCTTTGTGCATTGACCCTGTAGGCTTCACGAGGGCTTGGCCTCTGGAGCAAGCTGAGCATTTTTCTTCCCTGGGGAGAGCCTGGCTCTGGCTGGGACCAAAGGCACCTGTATTTCTCGAGCACCAGAGGGAGCCACAGCAACAGTTCCTTCCACTGGAGCTCTGATCCCTGCCTCAAGGTTCGGCTCCCAGTCAGTCTGAGCTGGGGCTTCTTTCAATTAGCTGCTTTGAAGTCTGAAGTCTGAGTCCATTTCTCTCTGCTCCTGGCCCAGTGGCTTTTTACAAGTTATGATATTTTCTCAGACTGGCTGATGAGACAAATTTATATTGAATAACCACTATAAATAAATGTATTGACCACTATACCATTCATTGGTTGAGTGTTTGCTGCTTGCCAGGAACTTTGTTAAATGTCTACGTACATTATTCCACTGGATACTCCCACTAAATCCCCCAAATGAATGTTATAATCCTCTTTGTTCATATATGGAAACAAAGGCTCAGAAGTTACTTCTTGTGTCCCTACTGTATTACTACACTTTACCCTCCTGATAACCTGTGAGATAAGCCATATCACCCCATGTTAAGGGTGAGGAAGCAGAAGAGGTGTCTTCCCCAAGGTTACATTGTGAAGATGTGGTGGTGCGCCACCTTTTAACCCACATTTTCTAATCCCAAGCCTGTCACTTCCTCAGCGCTACACTCTCTGCTCCCTGACTGCCTTGCTCCTAACCGGCAACTGCAGAAGGCACCACATGCTACCACAGGGCACCCCAGGAGCTCTGTGTTCCCACAGGAGCTCGGGCAGAGCCCAACTCAGAACTGCCCTGCAGAGCTCCCATGATGTCAAGACTTGCAGGAGACGGTGTCCCCAGGAGGTACGATCCCGCACTTGGTTGGCTACTTCTGTTCCTGAGAGGAAAAGGTCTTTAGTGCACATTCCCCCTAGTATCCACTTGGAGGGGTGGGGTAGGAATGGCATGGGGCAGGGTTTAAAAAAGGAGGGGGGTAGGTGGAGCAACAGTGTCAGCGTCTGTCGTCTGGTGGCTGAGCAAGCACTGTAGCAAGCGAAGATAACGCTGTCTCCCTTAATCAGCAACCTCTCGCCCAAGTGCTCGCTCTGGCACTATAGAACCTGCAGGTGTGTGGCTATCAGCCAGACACCACCCCCCGCCCCCCAGCCAGGAGTGCCAGCCTTATTCCTGGTTGAATCTTGACCCAAGAGATACAAATGAGCTCCCAAGCATCTGGCCTGAGCATATGCCCCTGCTCTGCCTTTTTTGGGGGGAAAGCACATAATCTCTTTTCCAAATTTCTTAGGACAGGCTACCATCATGGACCCAAGGCAGTGGTGGGGGGATGGCAGCCAGCCCAGCAGCCCCCACTCAGTATCCACAGCCTGACTGCAAAGCTTCCCTCCACACCCCGCATCCCACCCCTTGATAAACAAATTGTTCTCTGTTTCATGGGCTGGCTTTCTCCTGCAGCCGTGCCTCCTCCACATCTGCTCACTCCACAGCTCTAACGCCCCTGTATTCCCTGTCCACAAATTATCAGCATTCAAAGCCAGAAAGTTGGACAAACACACCCATTCTTCTTCTGGGTTCCCATTACACAAGCATTAGGAGAAGGAAAACATTCCTGCCAGGATCCCCCAAGCCACTGGACCATTCAGGCAGCAACTGAAGCTGACACTGGGTAAGTTATGTCCCATGAAGGGGGCCAAGAGGCCCAGTTGTCTCCTCTTCATTCATCTAAATGCACCTATACTCAGGAGCAGGCACCAGCCCCGACCTTAGAGGAACTGCCCTCTCAGCACTGCACACAGACTCTAAGGCGGACAGTGAGGCTGCAGCCCCAGGACACACTCCAGGGAGTTACACTTTTGAGAAGGCCAAAGAATCTAGTACAGAGTAATGGCAAAGAGAATGGAGTTTGCAGCCCAAGAGATTTAGGCAAGAACCCCAGCTCCATCTCTTTCCAGCTCTGTAGCCTGGAGTTTCCTCCTCTCTGAACTCGTGCTCCTCACCTGAGCAGCGGGGATAAGGGTTGTACAGTCTCTTCGGGTGGTGATGAGGACTAAAATAATGTTTGTAAAGCAGCTAAGATGGAATTTGGCACAATAAAGTCTAGATTTCTTAACTAGTATCATTATTAATAGCATCAGTACCATCACTCCCATTATCACAGGAAAAAAAAAAAAAAAAGACTGTGTTTCCTAATCCTTCTAGCTAGGGTATAAGCAGGAGCACTGGGAGGGAAAGTTCCAGAGACCTGGCAGAAAGGGAGCTTGTGTTCATGAGGTACAAGTGCCCATTAAAGCCTATCAAGTGCAAGGCATCTTGTCCTGAGAGTGAAGGAGTCTTGATTACGGCCAGGAGCAGTCACTGGCTGGTGCTACAATCTGCTTTAAATCAAATTCACCCAGCTTACTGTCTGATAACAACCTGATTAAGGAAAATGGGCACCATAAATTTGATTCAATATTTGAGAAGAGAAAAGGAGGTGGTCATGTATCATCTGGGAAAAGCCTTTTCATGACAGCAGAAACTCACTTGCACTCAAGAGCTGTGAAAAAGTAAAGGCATTTGGGGGAGTGGGGTTATGCAGAAGCGGGCAAGGCAGGAAAGAGCTACGGCCAATTACAGACTCCACACCCTGGGTTTCTAGCAGAGAGGGGACTGCTTTACAGTGATGAACTTGACTCCAGAGGTTCTCACAGGTCCATTTCCTCTGACCTCTTGGGCACTTCCACATGCATTTCAGACTCAACAGACCCCAAATCAAGTTCAGAGTGGCTCATCTCTCAGCCTGTTCTTCCCAGGCTCCATTATCTTGGCTAAGAAATTGGCACCCGTCTACCTGGCAGCACCTCCAACTTACCCACTGAGGCCCCTCAGACTTTACCTCCTCGCCATTTCCTAACTCTGGGCTGCCCGCCATACGCACAGTCACTGCCATCTTGTCCAGGCCTCGTTTTCTCTTACCGCAACTGAGGAACAGCCTCCACCCCAGCCACAGTCCTCTGGCCTTGTCCATGCCAATCAACCCTGAGCACTGCAGCCACGGGGATCTTCCTAAAGTGCACCAAGGCCATGTAATCGCTCCATTTAAAAGTGTCCTGTGACATAATACTAACTATTTACACAATAAAATCCAAATTCTTTGGATTGGCATTTGAGCACCTTCATGCCCTTGTCTTTTCTGTACCTTTCTCTCCAATCATTTCTCCCCTCATTTTTCTGTGCCTCAGACACATTCTCTCTATACCCTAATTCATGGGGCTGCTTTTGGTTCCCTGCACAAAGCAACTACCCAGGATCTCTTAACTTCTAAGACTTTGTGCTACCCTCATGCCTTCTTCCTGTTCTCTATAATCTTGCAAGAAAAATTCCACCTCAAGATGCAGCTCAAATGTTTTTTCTTCTGGTGAGCATTCCTTGATGAAGCAAGTAGAGGCACTCACTCCCCAGTTTATGCCTAAAGTCCCTCAAATGCCCCTTAATCGCCACAAATATCACTCTAGGTTACAGGCTGTATCTGCTTCTACATGCCTCCCAACCCCCTAGACCAAAGATAGGGGCTCTCATCTCAGAGTCAGAAACCATGTCTGCATGATCTGTCATTCCAACAACCCACCCGCCAACATACAATAAGTGCTCAGGAAATGGGCGTGGAATCAAAACTAACATGTTAAGTTTAACTTGCATATTTCCATTAAAGGCTTCCATAACTGAGTAAGAGGCCTAACAACATATTTCTTATCCTCAAATCCACATGAGAGTTCAGCAGCATGTATTTGAGTCAGCACTGTTCGACAGAACTTTCTGTGCTGACGGAAATAGTCTATAACTACACTGTCCAATACAGTAGCCACAGCTTCGTGTGGTTACTGAGCGCGTGAAATGTGGCTAGTGCAAAGGAAGAATTGAAATTTTAATTTTAATTAACTTTAATTAAATTTAAAAAGTCACCAGTATAAAGGCTACTATATTGGACAATGCAGCTCTAGATTCTCCTTGGTAAGGAACCTTCCTAGGAAATAAAAATTTGCTCACTAACTCAGCTGTTACTGGCCCCTGTCTTGCTCTTGGGGTACAAGGAATTGGATACAGTGGATGAGGTGCCTTATGAAGCGCAAAGCCACAGAGAGCCCTGCATGACAAATGATCCCTACCTACCTGCAGAAGGCCTAGGAAAACCCATCACTTTAGAGGGAGTGAAACCCACAGGCTAACATTGTAGGCAGTCCTAGGATGCACTGGTGGATTCCAAACAAATAGGGAAGCCGGGCTCACTGGGCCAGCTCTGCAAACCCGGACAATATCAGAGCCAGCTAACTGCTATCCAAACACTCAAGCAGCCAGAGTTACAGAGAAGGAGATAGGAATTTGATGGAAACAATGAATTAGAGGCTCAGGACAAGGGGTTAGGTCATTTGCAAAATCAGATAGCTCTGTTTACAGGACAAAGTGTCAGCTGAGTTCAAAAACTCTGTCATTTATAGATCACCCTGAAGCCAGTAGGCATCATTAAAAAGGAATATTAGGGAGAGAGTCAACACCCATACTCCTCCCTCCCTTAGCTGTGCACAGGGCCCTTGAGGGACCTGGAACTTTGCTTCCAGCCTAAGTCTCAGCTTGTCTTTATGCCATGTGATTGAGTGCCAGAGGGACTCACAACCCAATCCTGAGTAGAAAAGTGTGGGGGCTGGGACCCTACTCTCTCTAGCTTTCACTGCTGGGGGTATATCTTTTCTTCCTTCCTTCTTGGTGCTCTGGAATCCCAAACTTTTCCATCATTTTATATTTTCCAATAAAGGTGAATTATTTAAATGTTTATTTAAGCTTTATTTTTCATAGGGCTAAATTATTAAGCCAGAAAAGCTGTATCAACAAATCACTTGTCCTGATTTTGGGTGTGACCGTGTGATCCAGGTCTCCCAAGTGAGTGAGTAAAAGAGCTGCTCTACACAGGGGGGTTAGAAGGATCCTGGCCAGCTGGGATGAGGCTTTATACTAGAAAACACTGAGAACAGCGCTAGTCTCCTAGTCCCATGCTCTTACCATCTCACTGCATCTCAGATGCAGTACAAGAGCCTAAGCTTTGCAGTTGGGCAGGCACAGGTTCAAGTCTAGCCTCTGGATTCAAACCCCAAAACCGTAAAGGGCAGATCTCTCTCTGAACTTTAGTTTTCTCATCTATAACACAGGCATAACCATACCTATAATGCTGGAAGCCAGGACAAACAAGTAAGACAATCATAAGATACCAAGTCCAGTGCCTGACACACGGCAGATACACCACGGTGAGCCCTAAGTCTCGTTTTCAGATTATAAAACAGTATCTCGGAGCCCGTCACTTTATAAGCTAAGTTTAGGTTTTTGTTTTTCCCAGATACATTATCTTACCTCAGTAATCTGATGTGATGGAAATAATAGCTCAGCACTCTGCTAAGCTTTGCTGCATAATATCACTTCCTTCTCACAAGTACCTTGTTGGGGAAGTTGTTATTATCTCATTTGTTATTTGTATTGTTACTATCCCGTTTTATAAATTCAGAACCCGAGGATCAGAGACTTGACCAAGGTCAAAAAGCTAGTCAGTGGCAGAGCAGGGCTTTAATGCCCATCTTTTGGTGTGCCAGGCATCCGTGCTGCCTTGCAGGGATGACAATGGTCTGGTTGCTTGGGGGCACCTCCTCAGCCAGCTGTCCTCACCTGTGTAGTTCTTCATCGGAGGGTGAATACTTGGCAGTGACATCAGCCAGCTCCCCGAAGATCTGCTTGCTGTACACGGTGAGGGAGGACAGCAGAATTAATTCCTGCCATGTAGAGCTCAGGAGGCACGTGTAATCCTTGATTGAGAGCTCGCAGAAGAAAGGCAGTTTCTTGATCCAGGCAATCTGCCTAAAGAGCAGCTCGTCAGCCAGGCGGCAAAGCAGGGCAAACAGCTCCGCCTGGGTCACAGCATATCTAGGGGACAGACACAGGGGAAAGTCACTTCCAGTGGCCAGAGGGTGAGGATGGGGGCACAGGGAGCAGAAACTCCTAAGGCACAAAGGCTCTCCGGCAGTGAGCTCCTTGCCTGTCACTGTGATCTCCAGCTCCATTCAATTCAGTCTAACAAAGGGGCAAACTGAGGGCTGCAGAGGCGTTTGGTGAGAAAAGGTTGCTAAAGAGAAGGGAGGCTTAGAAATATGTGCAGTTATCAGGGGGCATGGCTCTTAATGTTGGTGTCCACTAATGCTTCATGTGTTAGAGAAAATTCCCAGTCACTCCTGCACTGGTTTTGGCAATGAGGCCTCCAACAGAGGAATCTGGTACCCACTGAATACAGGGACTGGCAGAAAAACGAGTCTGGGGCCAAATGGCTGAAAAAGAACAGAACAAATTCAGAAGCTGTTCCTGCTCTCACTGCACCCCCTGGTGGTGAGCGCTCAGGAACCAGAGTCAGAGTTGCTCGGCCCTCCTAAGCAACTGCAGGGTGCCAAGAGTAGGGCATTCCTCGTCTCTGGGCCAGACCTCAGGGCCACTTGGCATGATGCTTTCCCGCACCCCTGTGTCCAGATTTATAAAGCTTTTGTGTGGCCTTCTTGTAGATATTTCAATTTCCTCTTTGAAAATAGAGACTAGCTTAAGAAATCTCAGGGTACTTTTTGGAGGGGGGAGGTCTAAGCTCAGAAATACTCAAACAGCACATGCTCTAGGCCAAAGGAATAATGGATGCACCAATGGATGGGTCTAAAGGCTGAAGTTCTATCTACTCAGGTCAAGCTGACAGAAGACTGAAAGAGTATTCCTTCCATCCACTCAGGCCTACACCAAGTGCATATTGGCGCAAGGCTGCCATGGGTATGTTGGCTAGGGATGCACACAGGCTACAACCAGGTAGTGCCTTCAGTGTCTTGTTAAGGAGCCTAAACCTGATGTATGATTATACCCAGAATTATAGCTCATCTCTGGCTCAGAAGTGCTCAGATCCATCCCAGGGTTTGGCTTACCTAGGCTCAAGCAGAAATAAAAGCCCTTTCTCTTAATTCCATAGGCACTGATAAATAGCCTGAACTCAATGAGAAAAGATGCTCAGGAGAAAAATAAGGGACCACTGACTTCAAAGATAAGCACAGGTTTACCCTCTCATGCAGTCATCACTCACTATCCCTGACATATTCTGAAGCCTGTGATGAAGCAGCCAGGGATGAAGGTGGGTGTGGGATAGGGAGCATTTTGAAGCTGCAAGGGCTAAACAGGGCAGGGCTCACTCACCCATCCTCGATCAACATGGGCGTGCCCAATGGCTCCAGGTCCTCAGCAGACACCAGTTGGTGAATCAGACTGTACGACTGGGGATCCAGGCTGCGAGCTTGCGGGGGCAGAAGTGGCGAGTGGGCAGAATAGCTAAAAAGGTGCGGTATGTATTGATAGTGTGGAGGCACAGACATCCCCATGTACTGCTCCCTGAATGCCATGAATCCATTTAGTTCCACGGACCTACTAGAGAGAAAAGTCGCACATCAGGCAGAATCTGGCAGGTCTACTGCCTACTCAAAGGCAATGGGCCAGAGGGTGGCTCAGGTGTTCTTTGGCCATGCAGTCGTCTTCATCAAGCTCAGGGCATAACTAATGGTTACATGCACCCCTCCCCTATTAGATAGGGACTCTGTGAGTGTGTGTACATATGGTTTACCAGCTGACATCCAAGACCTGGCAGAGCAGATACTGAATAAATACTGGCTAAGTGAATTCATACAGGTGCCACATTTAGGGAGTTTTTAATGTATATGCATAAACTATGATGATAAAGGTGGGTATTTTGTTTTTTATTGCTAAGAAAACTAAGGCACATACAAGCTAAGTGCCTTTCCAGGCCACAAAACAAATCTAGCACTTAGGAAAACAAACAAAAAACAAAAAACCTGGCATGTGGCAACAACTCCCTAAACATTCAAAGGAAGGAACAAACTAAGGAACTGAATGGATATAGGTTATAATGAAATATGAAGAGAGAAGTAGATTCTTATCTTTCTCCACTGTTTTGGAGAAATCTAGCCACTCTCAACCAACTAAAAAAAAAAAGTCCTAGTTTTACCTAGATGCACCTCCTGTAACAGGGATCAGCAGACAATGGCCCATGGCCTGTTTTGGTGGATTAAGTCGTATTGGAACACAGCCACTCATTCACTGACATATTGTCTCTGGCTAGTTTTGCACTATGACGGCACAGTTGAGTAGTTGAGCCCTAGACCACAGACCTACAAAACCTAAAATATTTACTACCTGGACTTTATAGACAGTTTTTTGATCCCTTTTTTTGTAAGAAAGATTTTGGGGTAAAGAAAGCATTCCCTGGTAGCTGAGAGCTTTATTTTACACCTAACAACTAACTGAAGGTACCATTCTTGAGCCAAGAGTCTCTAAGCTGGTAATCCATAATAGCAGCAATTTTAACTAGGTTAAAAAGTTTTCCCTGTTTCCTAAAATTTATAAAGTGAAAATCCTCACTCTTGTTGAGGCAGAGAAATGATAACTTAATTTAACATTGTCAGTGTGGCCTGTTTTATTTCTGTAATGAACTAAATGAGAGAAAATAGCTATATTTAAAATATTATGCTGTTAGGTGAAGAATGTATGGGCATGGATAGCAGCTATAGCACTTTATCAGTCTGCAGATGAGACCTGACATTTTCAAGGTCTTTAGCAAACGTGGTTGCAAAAATGCTGCTTTGCATCATCATGGACTCTATCCTAAAAGACTGAGGGAGCAAGAGTACAATGTCTGAGACAGAATAGCAGGAATACCCAGCCCAAAGGGTTCCTTGTGGGTCCACTCTCTGAGTGATCCCTAGATGATGCTGGGTTTGCCTTGAAGCTCACCTGGAGGACAGAGTGGAGCCTGGTGAGGGCTGGTTGCTCTCTGAAGCCCTGTTCCCAGGGGAACTGTGGTCGCTGTCACCATGGTTGCTCCAGTGATTGGCCTCTTCCTCAAATTCCTGCCCAGACATGATCCTTTCAATCTCTTCCTCTGATATCTTTGACAAGGAATTGATACATGTTAGATTAGGTGCTCAGGATACCCTCTGTTCCTTTTTTAGGACTGGGAACTTATTTAAACTTCATGGGGATTCCCAAACCCTCTAGACAGAAACCCAGATACCCTTCTCTCTACCCCCGTACTCCAGGTCTCTGGCTAAGTTAGGACAGCTTGGTTGCTTGCCTCCCAGCACATGGCTCACTATGGCATTCCTCTTGCCCATTTACCCCTTTCAAGCCATAAAGCCTCCAAGTTCTTCAATACTCCTCCTTTGTTCTTGAGTCTATTCTTTCCTAAAACACCCTCGTCAATAATAAATTATTCCTTGCTCTTTAAGACCCAATTCAAATGTCACTTTCTTTGTGAATCCTTCCATCGCTACCTAGACAAAATTTTAGGTCCTTCCTCTATCCACGCAATTCTGTGCATTTTGAGAGAGAGGATGAATAGCATAATGGTTAAGAGTATTGTTCTAGGGTCAGACTGCCTTTGTTCTAATCCAGGTTCTGCCACTTTCTAGTTGTACGATCTTGGGCAAGTCATTTAACTATTAAACCTAAATTCCTTCATGTGTGGTGGAGAGAATAATAATATCTCTCTCATAGGACTGACGTTCAGAATTAAATTAATTAATACATTAGCAAATGTTTAGAAAAGGGCCTAGTACATAGCAATAATTACAGAAGGCTGACCATATTTCATCGTTACTGTTGCATTTATAGCACTTATGGTAATGAATCATAAAAATATCCTCTATGAGACCTACAGCCATGGTAAGGTTTTTAAAAAAGCAAGTACTCAACAAATGAATATTGGATAAATGAACAAATGCTTACTTACTATTGACTACAAATCTTTACATGGATTTTCTGAGTTAAGAAAGGTGAGACAAATGAACTGACTAGTCCAAGATAACACTGCATGCCCATGTTTGGGCAGGAGTTTGAAAAAGAGGCCAAAGTATCCAAGTATCCAAGTCCAGTGCTCCAGCTGCTACACCACATAGGAGATATAAATAAACACTTCTATAATGTGTTTAGCACTGAAAGCCAGCCAGCACATAGGAATTGGAGGGAAAACAAGAAATATTTAACTGGTATACAAGTTGAGTAATTGGTCTTAAATAGACTGGATTACATATTGAAGGGGCTGTCGTTATTCAGTTACAAGTAGAAATAAATAAATAAATACATACATACATACAAGCAAGTTCTTTTCTCTTAGGGGTCCTTGGAACACTGAAATTACTGTTTGCACTTTTTAAGTCATGTGAAGACAAATGGTGCCATCAAACTACAATATACCTACTGAGGCCCGGATTGAAGCAGACTCAGTGATGGTGGTGAGAGCAAGACCAGAGCTTTGTGGGCATGGAATAAGTTGAGCTGGGTGAAAAGGGCCAGTCCTGGTAACATCAGCTTATTCCAGCTGGGAGCCAAGACAGACTGTACCTGTCTCTACGAGAAACTGGGAAATCACTGATGCGTTGCATAGGTAATAGAACATGTCAGGAGTACTTGAGGCTGGCTGCAATTTCCTAACTGGGATTTTATTGTTGGGCAAGTCACTCAAGTTCTCTGAGCCTTAGTTCCCTTGGAGGACATAATGGAGATAAAACCACCTCCCTCATAGCCCACGGTTCCCTCACAGGGTGATGGAGCAAAGAAATATGCAGGTTTGAGTCAGATAGACTTGGGAGGTTAATCTAAGATAAAGTTATAAAGTGTTATAAAGTGCAGGTATACGATAGGAGCTCAATAAATGAAAATTCTATCCCTTGTTATTTTAAAATTATGCTTAAACATAGTTAATAACTTGGCAATCAGGATTTCCAGCCAAGATGGAGGTGTTGGTATACTCTGCCTCCTCACACAACCAAAACAAGGACAACAACAAATTTAAAAACAAAAAACAACCAGAACTGCCAGAAAATTGAACTGTATCGATGTCCAACAACAACAGAGTTAAAAAAGATAAAAAAGAAACATTCATCCAGACCGGTAGGAGCAGCGGAGATGGGCAGCTGGGGCAAAGAGGACACACGGCAAGATGGTGGCTGGCAGACCAGGTGGTCCCACATTTGTGTGTAGATAAACCAGGAGGAACAACTGGGGAGTGAGACAGTCCATGCAACCCAGGATTCCAGTGTGGGAAAAGAAAGCCTCAAAACCTCTGGCTGTAAAAATCTATGGGGTTGCAGGAGCGGGAGAAATTCCCAGTCTTACAAGAGAGTTTGGTGGAGAGACTCACAACAGGGTCCTAGAACGTACACAAGCCTGCCTACCAGGGAATCAGCACCAGAAGGGCCCAATTTGCTTTTACTTAGAGGGGGAAGTGACCGAAAGCCAGCCAAGAGGTGAGGAAGCTGCTGATCCCTCTCTGAAACCTCTCTGGCATACAGCACCACAACTCAGTGACATGGGTTGCCCCACCCTGGTGAATACCTAAGGCTCCGCCCCTGACGACATAACAGGAACGTCAAGAAATATGGCCCAAAGGAAAGAACAGATCAAAACTCAGAAAAAAATGCAACTACGCGATGAAGAAATAGACAAAGTATCAGATGCAGAGTTCAAAACACTGGTAATTAGGGTGCTCACAGAAATGGTTGAGTGTGGTTGCAAAATGGAGGAAAAAGTGAAGGCTGTGCAAAGTAAAATAAAGAAAAATATAAAGGGAACCAACAGTGAAGCGAAGGAAACCGGGACTCAAATCAACGATATGGAGCAGAAGGAAGAAATAAATATTCAGTCAGAACAGAATGAAGAAACAAGAATTCAAAAAAATGAGGAGAGGCTTAGGAACCTCTGGACAACTTTAAACATTCCAATATCCGAATCATAGGAGTGCCAGAAGGAGAGGAAGAAGAGCAAGAAACTGAAACCTTATTTGAAAAAATAATGAAGGAGAGCTTCCCCAATCTGGTCAAGGAAACAGATTTCCAGGGAGTCCAGGAAGCTCGGAGAGTCCCAAAGAAGTTGGACCCAAGGAAGCACATACCAAGGCACATCCTAATTACATTACCCAAGAGTAAAGATGAAGAGAGAACCTTAAGAACAGCAAGAGAAAAGGAGACAGTTACTGATAAGACTATCAGCGGATTTCTCAAAAGAAACCTTACAAGCAAGAAGGGGCTGGAAAGAAGTACTCAAAGTCATGAAAGCCAAGGACCTAAATCCAAGATTACTCTATCCAGTAAAGCTCTCATTTAGAATGGAAGGGCAGATAAAGTGCTTTCCAGAATAAGGTAAAGGTAAAGGAGTTCATCATCACTAAGCCCTTATTATATGAAATGTTAAAGGGACTTAACTAAGAAAAAGAAGATCATCAAAACTATGAACAGTAAAATGACAACAAACTCAAAACTATCAACAACTGAATCTAAAAACAAAAACAAACTAAGCAAACAACTAGAACAGGAACAGAATCAAGAAATGGAGATCACATGGAGGGTTATCAGCAGGGACGTGGAAGGGGGAGGATGGGGGAAAAGGTATAGGGAATAAGAAGCATAAGCGGTGGGTACAAACAGACAGGGGGAGGTTAAGAATAGTACAGGAAATGGAAAAGCCAAAGAACTTATATGTACAACCCACTGAACTAAGGGGGGGAAGGGGGAATGCTGGTGGGGGGCTGCAGGGCAGAAGGGAATAAAAGGGAGAAAAAATGGAACTGTAATAGCATAATCAATAAAATATACTTTAAATAAATAAATAAATTGCAGTTTTAACACCTTCCAAAAAACTTGGCAATCACAGCTCTCTTTCTAACACAACCTACAGATAGTAAAAGACTAAAAGGAAAATTATATGCCCAGTATCAACAAGTCAAATGCAGTGATGGATGAAATAGGTTTCTCTGAACATCAGCTCCCTCAATTCTGCATGGAATCAGGAGAAGTAAGGAGAGCCACACAGGGTACTTTCCCACCATTAACATCATGCTCAATGGTGAAAAACTGAAAGCCTTTCCTCTAAGATCAGGATCAAGGCAAGGATGTCCACTCTTAACACTTCTATTCAACACAGTACTGGGAAGTCCTAGCAGGACAACTAGGCAAGAATAAGAAATAAAAAACATCTAAATCAGAAAGGGAGAAGTAAAATTATCTCTGTCCACACAGGACATTATCTTATAGGTAGAAAACCCTAAAGGTTCCACCAAAAAACCGCTAGAACTAATAAAAGAATTCAGCCAAGTTTCAGGATACAAAATCAACATAGAAAAATCAGCTGCATTTTTACACTTATAATGTATTATCCAAAAAGGAAATTAAGAAAACAATCTCATTTACAATAGTATCAAAAGAATAAAATACTTAGGTATAAATTTAACTACGAGGTAAAAGGCCTGCACACTGTTGAAAGAAATTAAACACTGCTGAAAGAAACTAAAAACATAAGTAAATGGAAAGACCTCCTGGGTTCACAGATTGAAAGACTTACTATTGTTAAAATACCCATGCTATATCGTTATTAAACTCCCAATGGTATTTTTGCAGAAATAGAAAATACAATCTTAAAATTCTGATGGAAGCACAAAGAACCCCAACTGAAACAATCCTGAGAAAAAAACAACATAACTGGTGGCCTTATAGTTCCTCATTTCAAAATACACTGCAAAGCTACAGTAATCAGAAACAGTATGGTACTGGCATACTAACAGACATATAGACCAAGGGAACAGAACAGAGAGCCCCAAAATAAACCCATGCATATATGGTCAAAAGATCTTTGACAAAGATGCCAGACTATACAATGGGGAAAAATAGTCTTTAAACACGTGGTGTCAGAATGTAAGACCCAAAAATATAAAACTCCTAAAAAAATAAAAAGAAGGAAAAGCTTCTTGACATTGGCTTTGGCAATGATTTATTGATTATTATAACAAAAGCACAAGCAAAAAAAGCAAAAATAGACAAATGGGATTATAGCAAACTAATATACTTCAACAAAACAAACAAAATGATCAACAAAATGAAAAATCAACCTACAGAATGAGAGAAAATGTCTCCAAACCATGTATTTGATAAAGGGGTAATATCCAAGATACATAGGAAATTCCTGCTACTCAGTAACAAAAAAACAAATAACCTGATTGAAAAATGGCCAGTCCCTGGCCAGGTGGCTCAGTTGGTTGGAGCATCGTCCGTACACCAAAATGTTACGGGTTCAATGCCTGGTCAGGGCGCATATGGGAGGCAATCAGTCAATGTCTCTCTCTCTCTCTCTCACACTGGTGTTTCTCTCGCTTCCCCTCTCTCTAAAATCAATAAACGTATCCTTGGGTGAGGATTTAAAAAAAAAGTCAAATGACTTGAATAGACATTTCTCCAAAGAAGACATAAACAGCCAACAGGTATATAAAAAAGATGCTCAATTTGACTAATTATCACAGAAATGCAAGTCAAAACCACAGTGAGATATCACTCCACACCTATTAAGATAGACACTATCAGAAAGGAAAAGAAAGAAAACAAAAACATAAAAGAAATGCTGGAGAGGATGTGGAAAACGGGAACCCTTGAGCACTGTTGGTGGGAATGTAAAATGGTATGGCCACTATGAAAAACAGCAAGGGGGTTTCTCAAAAAATTGGAACCAGAACTACCATATGACCCAGCAATCCCAGGAGCAGATGACAGAATCAAGGGCAGCAGCTATAGGAGCATCTGAAACCCTGGGCTTCCAGGATGATCACAAAGAGTGAGGCCAAGAACTCACCTGGACTGGCCCGATGCTCTTATTCCGGCCTCCAGGCATGCCATCTTCTCTGATTGCTGGAAGGAAACATAAGCAAGAGAGTCAGAAGCATGCTCAGAGAAGTTTAGGCATGAGAAGAGAACTTCTTTGGCCAAAAGCACAAGGTAGTAATGAGTGAAGCTGAGATTAAAACATAGGCCTTTCTGGCCTCAAAGCACACACTCTTTCCATCATTCCAGGCTACTTCATAGGCAGCAGATACTTTGGGGCCCCCAAGGTACTGGGTACACACTACAAATATTGTATGCATTCAGTATGCTCAATGTAGGTGATAGCATTACTAATAGTCCCAGTTACAAATATCCCATCAGGATACTGCATCTAAGACTGGCAAGCTGAAGGAGAGGAATAGAAAAAACATGTTCATTGTAACATATTTTTTATTTCCAGTCTAAGTTTGAGTCTAATTTGTAGAATGAGGAGGGGGGGGGAGAGAGAGAGAGAGAGAGAAGGAGAGAGAGAGAGAAGGAGAGAGGGAGAGAGGGAGAGAGAGCGCGTGCGCGCGCGACTTCACTCATTGCTCCTTACAAAGGCAGTCAGTGGAGTTTCCTTACCACTGATTTTCCGCTCAGGCGATACAATGAAAGGAAGAAGTTACTTAGCATTCTCTAACTGTAAAAAGCATTCTTTAAATATTACCAGCCTCATTAAGAATTACAACTACTAATAATACTATCTTTCATTGTATATGGAGCACTTAATATTGGGCACAGAAAAGAAACCTCTGATTTGCAATTATAGAAAGGCTCTGGTGTCTGGCAAAGCTTTCTAGAAAAGACAACTTATGAACTGAACCTGAACAGGTGAATGGGATTTATGCAGACAGGAAAAGGGTGCTCCAGGATGAGTGAAGAATGCACAGAAAAGCTGCATGTGCGTGTGTGTGTGCGCGCGCGCGCGCGCGTGCATGTGTGTATAGAGCAGAGTAGCGAGAGATGAGGCTGGAGAGGCCAGCTGAGGCCAGATTACAGACAGCCTTGACTATTACGCTGAGACTGCGGACTTTATCAGAGGAGCCTGAGGATAAGATGGAAGGCAGGAGAGGGTAGGTCAGGCTGGCATTTTTAAAAGATCTGTGATGATTACTGTGGAGGGTGGTTCGGAGGGAGTAAGAAGATAAACTAATAGCATCATATGAGAGCAAGCTTTGCTATAACATACCTACCGGGGGCAGGGGGCGGCGGGGACTACCATGGAGAACATAGAAAGTCCTTGGGGTAGCACCGGTTGCCCGAAAAGGTGAGGGCTCCAAGTATTCAACTCCTGTGACCAGTGAAAGGCTGACAGGAAGTTCATTCTGCTTAAAGCGGACATTAGTCTTAGTGTCCTTAGATTATACACTTCAGAAATAGACGTTTGAGTCTAAATCCTGTTTCTGCCTCATCTGTGTAAGTACAAACAAGTTTCTTCACATCTCTGAATTTTATAAAACCTCAGTCTATGGCCATACCACCCTGAACACACCCTATCTCGTCTGAATAAATAAAACCTCAGAAAGTCAAATGTACCGAAAAATAAAGAGGGGCTACTGGACCCTAAGTCTTATGGGGGTTTTGTAAGGATTATATATAAAATAATAAAGCTGAAGCACCAAGCATAGAGCCTGGCTTATAAAGTACGTACCCCGTAACTAATCCTTCCTTCTCCGCAGCCTCTTTTTTCCAAACACAGAAGAAACCAAGTTTCCATTCTCAGCTTTGCTAGAACCTTAGTATCTTCGTCTGTGAAATGGGGCAACACAGTCTTCTTTACAAGACTGCTGTGAATTTGGAGTAAGAAAAATACACAGCCTACGGTAGGGGTAGAAGCATGCCTGGTTATCTAGGAGCTCTCTTTTAGCTAACTTTCAAGTTCTAAAAAATCCTTAAAATTCCTTCTCTGCTGTTCGAGGGTCAATGACAGTCTTCAGGCACTTCTGTCTCCAGTACTAACATCTCACATGCCTTTGCGAATCAGCTCACGGGTACAGATCAAGGATCACTAGCATATAAAACACTGAATATACTTGACTTGAAATCTCACTCTGTCTTGGAGATGGTGAAGGAACTCAACATGCTTTCTTTTTTGTTTAAGGGGCCCTAAACCTTTAAGATTTACATCTTGGCAATTTCCAGTTCTGATATTTAAAAGCTCATGTTGTCGCTCACCCCCATTCATAAACCCATTAAGAAAGTATTAGTATCACTCCCACTGAAGAGATGAATCTAAGGCTCAGAGAAATGAACGAACTATTTTACTTAGGGTGACAGAGACTGAACACGATTGGGGCTGGAATCCAGACTATCAGACTAAGGCCAGCCATCTTTCCAGCACTAGTACTTCCTAAATTGTGTTGTATCCCACTGGCAAGACATAATTTCAGGTGGTGCATCGATAAACCCTTAATTATACACTTATCTTAACATGCACTAAAAAATACTAATTTTTCATTCACCAAGGTGATAAAAAATTCTCTTTGAAAATTAACTTGGTCTTGACTGGAGTGGCTCAAAAGGTTGCTGGTTTGATTCCCTGTCAGGGCACATCTTGGATTATCAGTTTGGTGCCCAGTCGGGACACGAGGGGCCACCGATCTACGTTTCTCTCTCTCTCTCTCTCTCACATCGATGCTTCTCTCCCTCCCTTTCCCTTTCTCTAAAAATAAATAAATAAAATCGTTTAAAAAAAACAAGAAAACTACCTTAAAAAAATTGACCTAAAGAAAAATAAAAAGCATGAAACTGCCTGCAGTATGGAAAACAATACAATGTGTCACAGTGCCTCAGCTAAAACAGAAAGTTGGATCACACTGTAAAGTCTGCAACATACTCACATGTTATCACATTTGATCCTCAACACAACTTTGGAAGGTGTACATTACCGTATTTTGCTGTGCATAATGTGCATCCACGTTTTTAGTGCTGGTTCTCATTATGGGAATTAGCACCACCCATGTATAATGCACATTCTTATTTTTTCCCTTAAAAATTTGGGCAAAAACAGTGCGCATTGTACATGGCAAAATATGGTATTTCTATGCAGTTTAGAGATGAAGAAAATGAAGCTCAGAGAGGAAAAGGGACTTGTTGAAGGTTACTCAGGATAGGGCTGGCAGAACTGGGATTTCAATTTGGGTCTTCCGTTTCCAAAGATGTGCTTGTTCCGTGATGTTACACTGGGCTAAGAGCGAGTATTTCAGCAGGGCTGAGGGTCTTTCTGGTAATGAACTGATTAAAAAGAAACAAGCACATAAAGGGCTTTTGGGTACAAGATCACAGGAATGGTTCTGCTCCACTTCTTGTCTAAGCTGAAAAGAGTGGCACCAGTTATGGTTCTTCTATCTGCTCAGAAGCACAAGTACTTTTTTCTGCTCTGGAACATATGTATCTACCATTCCTCACTTAGGCCTGGACACCAACTAAATCCAGAAACCAGAAACACAAGTAAGACACAAAGCTAACTATACCAGTGTCCTGCTCAAAACCCACTGCTGGCTCCCTTTGGTCTACAGGCTAAGTCCAAGCTCCCTAGCTTTACATTTAAGATCCTTTGTGATCTGGGCCCTTTGGGGTTCCCCATCCTCATCTCTTGCCACAAACGTTACACTCTACCTACAGAGAACTGTTTGTTAGTCCCTGAACATACCATGCCGTTTTAGGTACATGTTGTTGCCCCACTCAGAAAAAAACTTTACAGTGAAAAAAATCTGGCAACACTACTTTACTCAAGTGAGTCACGTTAACATGGAGACTAATGAGACAGACTTAAACCATGTGCTCTCGATATAATACACTGAAAGGACACAACATCACTTCCGTGGCACAACCTGAATTTCATCGTGAAGAAATTGACAAACTCAGTAGAGGGACAGTCTACAAAATAAATGACCTGTTTTCTTCAAAACCGACAATGTTATTAAAGACAAAAAAAAGGCAGAGAAATCACTTCAGATTGAGATTAAAGAGACAAAAACTAAATGTGAGGTGTTGGCTCCTAGATTAGAAAAAAATAAATTGCTATAAAGGACATTAGGATGATTGGTAAATCTGAATAAGACCTGCTAATTAGGTAACAGTATTATGTCATGTTAAATTTCCTGATTTTGATAATAGTACTGTGGTTATGTTAGAAGCAACCCCCTTTGAATGTCTGTAACTTTCTCTGTCTCTCTCTCTCAGAGAGGGAAAGAAGGGGGATGGGGAGTCATTTTTTAAAAGCTCTTTAAGTCTGTAAGGAGCCTGAACTTCTATTCCTTCAAGACTCTGTTCTGTGAGATTTCTCAAGGCTCCATTTTTATCCTGGTAAAGTGGTATGATGCTGCTGCAAGATCACCATCTCACAATGCCATTCTACAAACGTGAACCTCCTCCAGGAGGCTTTCCTTAACCTTTTTAGAAATTTAAACTAGTTAACTAGCAAGTTGTGAGACAACCAAGTTAAAAAAATTTTCAGTTTTTTCACATAATTACTCAGCTGACACAAACTCCTCCAAGAGGCTCAGTTTAGCTTCCTCTTGCTTCTGATGATTTTAACAGTGGAGCAGACCCCTTAGCTGTGGTTTTGCTTTTCATGGTTTTAGTTATCCACGGTCAACCACAGTCATAAAACATTACATAGAAAATTCCAGATAAACAATTCGTAAGTTTTAAATTGAGCACTATTCTAAGTAATATAATGAAACTTTGTGCTGTCCTGCCCCAGAGGTGACCTTTGTCCAGCGCTTCCATGCTTTGTGCGCTATCCACCCATTAGTCACCCTCCACTCACTGGCTATCTCAGTTATGAGAGACAGACCGCATTCACATAACTTGCATTAAAGCGCATTGTTATAATTATTCTGTATTATTAGTAGTTATTATTATTGATTTCTTACTTTCCTAACCTGTAAGTTAAACCTTATTATAGGTATGTAATGTACAGAAAAAACATAGTATATACAAGGGGGACCCCAAAAAAAACAACATAAAACCTCAGGGAATTTAGCTATAAAAAATTGTGTATTTATTCTTACATGTTTAAACTTTGGTCACCTTCAAAG